TGTCGCGCCAGTTTCACTGCGACATGTCCACCTGGCTCGAGTGGGTAGACTCGAAAAGCAACTGGTCGGACGGGATCTCACGGCGCGCCGTACGCGCGCGGGGGCGGCCTTCCCCCGAGTCGTCCACTCGCGCGGTGCCAGGCGGCTCGGCGAGGATAGCTTCGCCCGGGAGAATGGTTTTCGTACCGGCGAGGTGAGAGTGGACCCGGCCGCGTGGCGCGGGTGCTTACTAGACGCGTGGCGTTGGGTGCTACGGCGCGCGGAAGGCGCGTCCGCGAGGGCAATTCGCGGGGGGTGGGCCGCGGCGTGCAGCGTGCCGCGCCAGGCTCAGTGGATTCGCCGTAAAGAAGGAGTCCGCGCAGGAGAGGTGAGCGCGGGCCCAGCCGCGGGGCACGGGCATGCCTCAGACACGGGGCGCCGTGTACATCGACGCGCGATTGCGGAGCGGCGTCGGGCCCAGAACAGCGTTGGGGGTGCAGAAACGCGGAGCCAGAGCAGCGTTGGGGAGAGCGGCATTACTGGCGAGCCACGCCAGGGTCTTGCCTTCTTCACGCAGGTGTTCCATTCGGGGGGTTTGGTCACCCCAAGGTCGTTCTGCACCCCCGGAGCACCGTTACACTTTCTGGGGTCGGGGGACGGGGTATGGGTTGGGGGAATGGGTGGGAGGATGGGGCCGTCGCGCGCCGTGTTCGCAGGTGGAGCGCGCGCGCGCGCGGAGGAGCGGGCCGCCCGCGTGCGCTTCGCGCCGCGGCGGGGCGCGTGCGATTCGCGGCGCGCGAAAGTTGCCAGGGGCCGCGCAGGGCGCGGCGCGGGGAATAGGCTGTCGGTGATTATGCGTTGACTTTAGGCTCGGGGAGGCTCGGGTCAGGGAACCATAATCATGACAGAAGGGGGCGCCCGCGCGCGCTCGCAGGGACTGCGCGCATCAGAGCGCGCAATTGGATCGTGCGAGCAAAGCGCGTTGGCGACAGCGGTTGCTGTTGGTTTGTTTCCCACCCACCACACCCTGGGCCCCGGTGGGGTTACCAGGGAGAATTTGGGATGGGCGCCGGCGTGGACTTCGCCGTGCAAGAGGCGATGCGCACCGGCTGCGAGGGGTCCTGCCTCGGGTCGGCCGAACGTGTGCGTCGCAGGTGCGAGAACGCCGCGCAGGTCAGCGCGTGCGGGGAGGGGGCCTTCCTTCCCTGGTGGCCGCTGGCAGCGGTCGCATCACCAGGTGTAACGTCTGACAGGTGCGCGACATGTTGGGTCGGAATAACGAAGTTATTGCTTGGCACAAATCCGCCCGCGCTGTGAACGACCCCGCGGCTGGCCGCGGGGGCGCCCTCGCTCGGCTGGTCGGCCGCGCGCTGGTCGACCCTCTTCCGCCTCCCGCTCGCGTCGTGTGGTGCATTGCCGTGCCGTGCTTCCTCCGCCTGGCACTGGGGCGGGATATAAATACCGTGCCGTGTGTCGGGTTTCGGCCCTCCGCCCTCTGGGGGCTTCGCTCGGCCATAGTGGCTTCCTTGCGGCCCATAGTGGCTTCGTTGCGGCCCATAGCGGCCTGCTGCGTTCACGTGCCCAATGGGGCCCTCTCTTCTGGTCCATAGTGACCACGAGCTGTCGTTGGCACGCTCTCATTCGTCACGATGGCGCGCTGGCATGCAAGCGAGCGGGCTTCAGCTGGCGTGGTTCTCGCTCGTGCCCCGTGGCGCTGTGATTGCGATGGCGATGCTTGCCTTCTTGCAGTCTGACCCTGTTGTGGCGCGAAGTGGACTGATATCCAGTTCAAGGGCGCCATTGATTGCCTGGCAGCCAATGGGCTGACGATGCCAGAAGAATTGGCCAATCTTCAATTCGGCGATTTGAAGGATGCCGATGGCGCGACGGCGCTGACGAAGGGCGTCCTGCAGCGCGCTCTGGATCGCGCGACGGTGGCGGCAGCCAAGGCGAGTTCGCCGGGTGCCGCGGGGCCCGCGCCGGCTTCGGCGGGTCGTTTCGGTTCGGTTGCTGCAGAATCCTGGGCTCCCGCCGAAGGGAGAGCATGTCGACATCGGCGCTGGCCTGCCCAGATCAGCTTGAGGGACCTTCCGGAGTCCCTGTGGCCGAGGCTGCCGCGCGGCTTCGCCCCGGCGCGCTGGCGCGTTTCCATCGTTCGCTCAGGTCAGCGAAGACCGATGCGCTGGCCACCGAGGTGCAGCGCGCGAAATCCAGGGGAATCGCGCGCCCGTTCATTTATACTGAGCTCGCGAAGGTCCAGCCGCTTTGCGCGCGCGGCGCGGGCGGCTCTCCCGACGATGACGAGCCCGAGTCGAAAGAGGCGGCCGCGTTGGCCAGAGCGTTCGGACGGGGAACCGCGGCGGAGAGCCAGCCGCTTCTGTCGTGGACGCCATGGCACCAAGCTTACGACGCGTGGAGCGTGGCGGCCGCGGTCACTGATCAGATTTCGTACACGAGCGCCATGGCTCACAAACACGTTGTTCTCCGGGCGAGTCGACATTGGCGCCCGTCCGCTGGTCGCCGAAGTGGGCGCGCTTGCCCAGGTTGCACTGGATGCCCCCCTGCAGGGACGGAAGGCCCAGGTTGCCTTGGTCTACGACCGCCTTGTGCGGAGGACGTGGGCCGAGCGCGCCGCCGCCGGCGCGGCAGGCTTCCAGGCCGCAGCTCCGCGCCATGCTTCGGCGCGTTATTCTCGGGCGCGCGTCGGCGCGCAGGTGAACGTTGCGGCGCTGTCGCTTGACGTCGGGCTGCTCCGCGCGGCGGAAGCGGAATATGATCGGGCTCTTCAGGCCGCGTCGCCGAATCCCTTGTTCGCGTTGCGCCACCGCTGTCGCGCAGGTTGCCGCGCCGGCCGGCAAGGGTGCAGGGAAAAGCGCCGCGGCAGCGCGCGGGCAGAGTGCGAGCGCCGCGAGCGCCGCGGGCGCCGTGGGAGCCGCGGGGGGCGCCGCCGTCACTTCCTGGAAGAACGACCGCGATTCAAGAGCCGACGGGTGGCAGTCCCGATCCTATCGCGGGGATTACAACAAGCGCTCCTGGGATTCGCGAACGGTGTATTCTCCTCAGAAGAAGCCGCGCGCCTGTCGCCCGCCGGAGGCACGCGCAGCCCGCGGCGCGCGGCGATGTGCGGGACGCGCGCCGATGAGGACGTGCATCGCGCGCCACGTTGGCATTTGAATAACAACGAATGGGCGCCAACCTCAGCCACCGTCCCGGGGGACCCGCAGGCGCGCGCGCGCGCGCTGGCAGGAGGGCGCCGCGTTGTTGCCGCGTCGTCCAGGGCTTGGGTGCCAGTCAACACTCGCGGTCCGTTCGCGACGCGAGGGCCGCCCGCCCGCTGGGCCAGGAGGCGCGCGAACGCCCCCGGCTGGCTCGAGCGCTCGCGCTCGCAAAGCGCAGGATGCGATGGGGCCCAGTATCGCTGCCACATGGGATTATCAGGCGCTGCGCGTTGTGGCGCGCGACGCTCGCGGGCTCGCGCGCCCGGCAGAATGCTGCCTCGAGTTGCAATGCACGCGGTTGCGCGCTGGCCCCTGCCGGCTGCTGTCACCTGCCGTCGCCTGCGTCTGCTGAGGAAGCGCCTAGCTCGCCTTTCTTGAAGAGGTCCTCTCCCGTTCTCACTCCTTCGAGGACAAAGAGGCCTTTGAAAAGGCCGTGGTGGTGCCCGGCGATGTTTTGGCGGCGATCGTTTGGATTGCTGCGCGCTCGGAGCGGCTGGTGTGCCGTGAGCGGCGAGCGACTCTCGAGCGAATTCGGGCCAGGGACGCCGAGCTACGCGCCTCTGGAGCGACGGCGGCCTGGTTCGCGGGCTGCGATGCCCATGTGCGCACAATCGCAGGGTCGATCAACGGCCCTCTTCACGTCGAACTGCTCGACGAAATCGGGTACGAGGACGCGGCCTGCGTGGAAGTCTTTCGGCGCGGCGCGCCTCTCGTGGGCCCTCTCCCGTGCACGGGGAACGGGCGTCCGGAATCTTTCCCTGTACCGCTCAGCCTGCCGGACTTGGCCGCGGGCGCGGTGCGAGGCAACGCCGCGCTGCTCGGCACGCTCAAGGAGTCTAGCGACTCCGCCGTGATTCTCACCAAAACTATCGCCGAAGCGGAGCTCGGCCGAATGAGCCATCCCGCGCCGCTCAGCGCGGTCGAGCTCGACGGTGCGGTTTTGTCGCCGCGGTTCGGCGTCCGGCAGTCGAGAGAGGACGGGTCCGAGAAGCTGCGGCTCGTAGATGATAGGTCGCGCTCTCGTATCAACGCGGCGTCGCAGCCGACGGAGCGTCTCGGCCATGAAGCCATCGACGCTCTGTTTGGCACTTGCAAGGCATTTGTGACGCGCGTGGGCGAAGCGCCCGGGCTCTGAAGGCGGACATAGACGCCGCGTTCCGGCGCGTGCCGCTGTTGCCGGAACATCGCGCCCTCGCATGGGTCGCGTTCCTCGTGGGCACATGCGTCTACGTGGCTCAGCACTTCGCCGCCCCATTCGGAGCGACTTCCCCCGTTCACAGCTGGGAGCGCATCGGCGCGATGCTGTCAGCGCTGGGCCGCAGGCTCATTTTCGTCCCCGTCCTCAGATATGTGGACGACTTCTTCTGCCCCGAACGTAAGAAAGGGCTGCGCGACGCAATGCGACAGTTCGCCGAACTGGTAAGAATCATTCTGGGCCCGAGCGCTATGGCCGACGGTAAGCTGCTGTTCGGCAATCCGCTCGGGGTCCTGGGCTTGTCTGTGGCGATTGACGAGCGTGGCCTCGTGTGCTGGCCGCTGCCGGAGAAGCGCGCCCGGTGGCGCGCCGAGATCGCTGCTGCTCTTCAAGAGGGCGCGCTCGAGCGCGGGCGCGCGTCCAAGTTGGCATGCCGCTTCTGTTGGGCTGCCTCCCACACCTTCGGGCGGTTCGGGCGCGCGCTGCTCCCGCCGTTGTTTGAGCACGCAAGGGCGCGCCATCCTAGTATCCCGGCGCACCTGCGAGTCTGCCTGCAATGGTGGCACGAAGCGCTCGCCAGAAATTTCACCACGACGCGGGAGTGGCAGGCGCCAGACACCAGGTCTGTCCAATTGCTCTCCGACGCGCGGGGGAATCCAGCTAGAGTGGCCGCGGTTCCTTTCATTGACGGGCGCATTGTCTTCACCGATGTCGCCCCGCCTGTGCCTCTGCTTCGGCTCTTCAGGGAAAGGCGCGACAATCAAATCGGCGGTCTGGAGGTGCTCAGCATCGCGCTGGGCCTGGCCACCTTTGAGCCGCTCATGTCGGGCCGATGCGTGAACATCTTTTCGGATAATTCAGGCAGCGAGTGGGCCGTCCGGTCCGGTGCGGCGAAGCAGTTTGACCACAATTGCCTGGTCCACTCATTCTGGCGCATGGCGCTGGATGCGAATTGCAATCTGCACGTTCAGCGTGTGGCGTCGGTGGACAACATCGCCGACCTGCCGTCGCGCGAGTCATATTCCCTGCTGTATCGCTTGGGGGCGGAGTGGATTCCTCCGGTGCTGGACGATGCCTGGTTCGATCCGAGCGCGTGGCTTCCTCATCGCCGGCCATGACCGGCTCGGGCGCTGGGCGTGCGTGCAATGGATCTGGCCTTCACTCATCGGTCAGGGTGCGCCCGCCAGGTCGGGCAGGGGTTGGCGTCCTCCCTCGCGCACGTCGCGGTCGCGCTTCGCCTGTGGGCGCGCGAGGGCATCGCTGGTTTGTCGGCGCACCTGGAGAATGTCATCGGTGTTCGCGCGATGGCGCTGGCTGGATTGCTCGCTCAGCTTCGCGCGGTTTGCCCTGAGGCACGCCCTCTTCCTGTGTTCGCCGCTGCCGAGCTGCTTGCCGATAACGGCGCCGACGCCGTGAGCGATTTGGTTGGCGTCACCCTGGCAGACTTCAGGGGCGCCGCGGCTTTATCTTGCGACGCCCGCGAGGTGGTCCGCGCGGCTATCGCGGCAGCCCAGCGCGGCGGCGCGCCAGCCGCGCTGGGCAGGGGCAGCGCGGGCGCTTCTCCTGCGCCCGCCCCGTCGCCCGGGATTGCCCCCAGGTCTGCTTGCGCGTTCCGCGTTCGTCGCGGGCCCCCCCTTGTCGGCCGTCGCAGGACCGACATCGCGACGCGGTCGCCCTCGAGCGAATCCGTCTCGTCATCCTCCACGGTGCGCGCGCGAAATTGCGGCATGTCGCTCGCAGCGCTAAACGCGGGCGCCAGGACAGCGGCAGGGCGCATGCAGCTCCCCCGGAGGACCCCGTGTCCGCGGTCCGGTGGGCGCTCTCAGTCGCTGGGCGCGAGGGTCGGCGTGACATGCGCGGGCCGCGGGCCGAAGCTGCTCGGGCCAGTGCCCTCATCACCTCCTCGGCGGCCGGTAAAGCGTGGGCGCGCAGGGCCCGGGTGAGCGCTCTCCTGGGCGCATGCCCGCGCTCATTGCCCGCGCTCAGCAGCGGGTTCGAGTGCTGGGTTACATTCGCAAGGGGCGTCTTAAAGCGACGGGGGAAGGAACTGCCGCCCACCCTGGAGGGGCTGCTTCTGTGGTCCACGACCTTCAGGTGCGCCGGGACCTTCAGCAATTACGTGACTTACGTGAAGAAGGCGTGCCTCGTGGCATGCCGGCGCGCGCCCGCCTCTCATCTTCCGGCAACGCGCGCGTCCGCCCGCGGCGGCAGTTGGCGCGCAAGGCCCGTGGAAGTCTTCAGGCACCCGGCGGTTCGCGCCGCTAAGTACGCCATCGAGAAGCGTTCGGGCTGGCAGGCGAAGGCGCGCATGGCCCTTCAGGGCCGCGACGTCGCCCGTCTGGTGTCGCACCTGCGCGTCAGTGACGAGGGTCGCCGTTTCGACATGTTGTGCCTGGCGGCCTACGCATTCCTCCTTCGGCTACCCTCGGAGGCCCTGCCCGCGGTGCGGGTTGAAGATGGCGCGGCCGCGGCTTGCGTGGCCTCCGCGTTCGTCGTCGGCGATCAAAAGATCGAGCTGCACCTCTCCAGGAGAAAGAACCGCGAGAGCCGCTCGGTGTTGGCACGGCAGTGCTGGTGCGACGAGTGCGCGGTCACCTGTCCCGTACACGTTCTTGGGGCCTGGCTAGTTGGCGAGCCAGCTCATCAGCCCATCTGGCTGCGTGGTCCCCAGGCGCGGCACGTGCTCGGCTGCGCCGCGCGCTGGGCGAAATGGGGCGCCACGACGCGGAATCATTCGGCACTCACGCGTTCAGGCGCGGGCACGCGCAGGACATCGCTGCCAGGGGCGGACCGGTCACCGACCTTCTTCGCGCGGGCGGCTGGCATCTGCCCGCGTGGATGAAATACCTTAACGTTTCCCGGCTCGAGCGGCAGTCGGTCGCGGAAGCCCATTTGGCAGAGTCGTCCAGCGACGATGGCGATGGCTGAGCACCCCGCGCAGTCTGGTGGTCGTGTCTGCACGGCACACACGTGGGCGCACCCCCGGCACGCGGGGGCAGTGGGTGGCAGCGCCGGGCGTGGCCCGCGGGCGCGCCGTTGCAGTGGGTGGTGCTCCCCCACGGGCCCGACCGGCGTCTGCCCGCTTGGCCTCGGAGAGGCCGCGCGCTGCGGGGCAGATGGGTCGGGTCCGCACCCTCCGCTCCTGGGGGAGGCTTCCTCCTCCCCCCCCCCAGGGCCGTGCGAGGCGAGTGCAAGCGCCAGGATTTGTGGGGTCGGAATAACGGAGTTATTGCTTGGCACAAATCCGCCCGCGCTGTGAACGACCCCGCGGCTGGCCGCGGGGGCGCCCTCGCTCGGCTGGTCGCCCGCGCGACATGGTCACACCCTCTTTTTCCGCCTCCCGCTTTCGCGTCCGTGTGGTGCAGGTGCCGATGTCCGTGCTTCCTCCGCCCTGGCCCTGGGCGGTGATTAAATACCGTGCCAGGGGGGGGGGGGGTGTGTCGGGTTTCGGCCCTCCGCCCTCTGGGGGCTTCGCTCGGCCCATAGTGGCTTCCTTGCGGCCCATAGTGGCTTCGTTGCGGCCCATAGCGGCCTGCTGCGTTCACGTGCCCATTGGGGCCCTCTCTTCTGGTCCATAGTGACCACGTGCTGTCGTTGGCCCGCCCTTCCCGCCCTGGGGGTGTGGGGGGGGGGTGGTGCTCCCCCACGGGCCCGACCGGCGTCTGCCCGCTTGGCCTCGGAGAGGCCGCGCGCTGCGGGGCAGATGGGTCGGGTCCGCACCCTCCGCTCCTGGGGGAGGCTTCCTCCTTCCCCCCCCCCCAGGGCCGTGCGTGGCGAGTGCAGCGCCAGGATTTGTGTTGGCGCGCGGAACACGCCCGCCGTATCCCGACCCCCGGCGGGGTGCTCGGGTCGGCGAGGGCGGCGCCGGACGCCGGCAGTGTTCGCTTTCCCCGTGGGGGGAGCGGCATTACTGGCGAGCCACGCCAGGGTCTTGCCTTCTTCACGCAGGTGTTCCATTCGGGGGGTTTGGTCACCCCAAGGTCGTTCTGCACCCCTGGAGCACCGTTACACTTTCTGGGGTCGGGGGACGGGGTATGGGTTGGGGGAATGGGTGGGAGGGTGGGGCCGTCGCGCGCCGTGTTCGCAGGTGGAGCGCGCGCGCGCGCGGAGGAGCGGGCCGCCCGCGTGCGCTTCGCGCCGCGGCGGGGCGCGTGCGATTCGCGGCGCGCGAAAGTTGCCAGGGGCCGCGCAGGGCGCGGCGCGGGGAATAGGCTGTCGGTGATTATGCGCGGCGTCCGAGGGCCATGGCGGACGCTGCCGGGCAGAGATGTTCTGCGGCGGAGAAACGGGCGGCCAGCCGTGCCATCGAACCTTGGCGCGCGGCTGCTGGGTCGAGCGCGGGGCCTGGGCGCGCGGCGCTAGCTGCGCCCCGTCGCGGGGCCAAAGTGGGCGGCGGCGCGCGGTGGCCGCGCCGCCAATGACCGATCGCGCGGCGAACTACCCAATGCGCGCCGAGATGCCAGGAACTTCGGGCCGCAGCATGAGAAACCCACCGTCGCGACGAGGCCGGCGCTTCGAGCCGACTCGCGCCCAGCGCGCAGATGTCCGCACGCGCGGAGCGCCATGCGCGCGCAAGGTCTGCCCCGAGAAAGGCGGGGAGGCGCGGGGAGACGTTGGGGGCCGAGCCGTCGGAGGCCGCGGACGGCCGAGCTCCCGCGGCCGGCGCGCGCCTGCCTCGGCATTTTTATTTTGCTGGGTGGGGGGCGGTTGCCGCCGCTGCCGCCCGTCCAACGGCGCGCGCGCGAAGCTACCATCTTCGCCATTCGACGGGCGAGCAGGCCAGTCCGCGCGTCGAGGGGCCAACTCTGCGCGATGATGACACTTGTGCACTCCATGCTGCTGCTCGGTGCGATTGCTTGCGAGTTGTCCACGGCAGTGCAGCTGCAGTGGCACGAGCCGTTGGAGCGGGGCGTGAAGGCTCCAGCGCGCGCGCGCGAGCCTAGCGCCGTTCCGAGTTGGTTTCTGCGGACGGAGATCTCGCCGCAAGAGTTGGCCGATTTGGGAAATAGGGCCGAGCAGGATGCTCGGGCGCAGGAGTTGCCAGACAAGCGCAACAGCGCGGGCCCCTGCCGCGTTCTCGCGAGGGGGCGGCCCAGCGCGGCAATGTTTCTCTCGCGCCCGAATGCGGCGCGCATGGATTTTGCAGATCGCTGCGTCGACGCGCGGACTTGGCCGACCGCGGCGCTGGTTGCTTTTTCCAGCAGGCTTCTCTTGCGCGCAGAAAGATTACGTTGCGCCGTTGGGCGCCCCCGCGCGCCCGCGCGTTCGCCGTCGCGGCGGGCGCGCGCGAGCGCGTTTCCGAGCGTCCGCGCTCGGGCCGCTGGTTGCATCGGCGCGCAAAACAATCCAGTGGTTCGCTTTCTGCAGGTGCCCGTCGGGCTGGGAGGTGGCGATTGGCAGACTGTGCGGCTTGGGCGAAGATCAACGGGGCCGGGCGCGCCCGCCGTCGCCTCTGCGCGCCGCAGGTGCACGGCGCCGGCGGGTTATGGTGGATACTGCCGGGCAGAACTGTCGTTCGACGGAGAGTCAGGCGCCCGCCTTGCCATCGAACCCCGGCGCGTAGCAGTTGGATCGAGCGTGGGCTCCTGGCGCGCTTGATCAGCTGCAACCAAGCGGGAGGCCGAAATTGCTTGCGGCGTGTGTTGGCCATGCAGCCAATAAACGCCCTCGCGTCGACAGATGCCAAATGCGCGCAGCGCGGCCAGCAGCCTCGGCCCGCAGCCTGCGACACATTCTTTCGCGATGCGCGCGGAGCGTCTTGCGCTTGCGGAGCCCGATCCGAGAGACAGCGCTAACGGGGCGGTGGGAGTCGGGGAAGCCAGTGGGTGCCAAGCGTTCACCGCACGCGCCATTCCAGCACCGTTCCAGGAAGATTTCTGAAGAACTGAGATCTCGCCGCAAGAGTCGGCAGATCTGGGACATAGAACCGAGCAGAATGTGTGGGCGCAGAAATTGAGGGACGCGCGCGACAGCGCGGGTCACCACCGTTTTCCCGCAAAGTGGCGGCCCAGCGCGGCGATGCTTCTCCCGCTCTCCCCTGCCTTGGCTTCGGGCTGGGTCGGGCGAAGGCATGGGGGGCTGACGGTTTCGGATTCGCTTCGCTGCAGCTCGCTGAGAAGTGGGGGGCCCGCCGCGCCGTCGGGCTTGAATGCAGGGCGCGAGGGTTCTGCTGATCGCCGCGGCGACGCCTGGACTCGACTGACTGCGGCGCTCGCTGGCTTCCCTGAGCCATCCTGTGGTATTGGGCTTTCGTTTTGAAGAGAAAGCGCACCGCATTATTTCCCGCCCGCCTCCGCCCCCCCCCCCCTTCCTTGCCTTTGCGTTTCGCGGCCCCCGCAGAAGGTTTCAAAGGCTGAGCTCGCATGCGGTTCCCCCACCCAGCACAGCGCTTCGTGACCGCATAGGGAACTCCACCGGAGGGCCCAGTGGCTGAGCTCGCGTGCGGTTCCTCCACCCAGCAAAGCCTTTCGTGGCCCCGCTGGCGGCTCCGCCGAAGGCGCCAGTTGCTAAGCTTGCGTGCGGTTCCCCCACCTTGTGCAACGTTCCGCGGCCTCATCGGAAGCTCCACCGAAGGCC